ATCTAGCCCTCACCGTTTCCTTCTTTTCAATGTCGCCCATGATCTGTGGGGCATGGTAATACAACTGTTTGGTATTCAATGGGTCACGCCATCCTCGTCAGAGCCCTTATCTCTTACGACCTGGACTCTCATTGGCCGAAAGCTAGGAAACTCTGTGGAAAGCTGCTGTAGCGATTACTATATGGATTATATGTATCAAACTACCAACCCTAGCTCTCTTTCATAGGATCGCTACCTTAGTCTCCATTTGGGCTTCCAATCATCAGACATTCGCGGGCATTCCAAAGAACTTCTTCCATAGTTAATGGAAGAATATTCTTTACCACCAACCGAGAAAGGCAATTAGACATAACAATTGGCAACCCCCACCTGTTGGCTGCATTAAGTTAAACTTTGACGGTTGTTCAATTCGGAATCTTGGCCCAGCTAGCGTTGGAGGAGTTTTTAGAGACTTCCACCGGAAAGTCATCTTAACGTACTCTGAATACCTTGGTGGTGGTGACTCCCAATATGCTGAGGCCATGGCTTTGTATTGGGGCTGAAAAAGTTCAATTAGTCTTGGGGACCACGCCTCATTGTGGAAGCAGACTCCCAAAATGCAATCTCTTGGGCAAGTGGGAAGATCCTCCCCCCCCTTCCCCATGGCAACTTACCACCAATTTTGATGAAATCTTTCACATTTGCAGGGATATGGACGTCTCCTGGAGGCATATATGGAGGACGTCCAACGAGTTCGCAGATCTCATGGCGAAGGAGGGAGCTAGAATGCAAGAGGAAGATAATGCCAGGTCTTGCTCTTTTTTTGTCACGGACTACAGGCACACTTAGTAGCTTCGAAAGTGTCTTCCTTGGTTTTTGGTTTTATTTTTTGGTTACCCACTGTAAATCATTGTAAACGGGCGACTATTATAAGCCCCTTTTTGTATATGGCTCACTGATGTATTTTTTACAAAGAGCTACCCATGTGGGGGCTCTCGGTCTTCTCATTTTTGTAACCATTACTGGCTCAGTAATACAATGTTAACATTTTTTTTTTTTAAAAATGATAATACTTTAAAAAAATCAAAATCAAATCGATGTCAGTGCAAACGTCGTCTATTGGGTCGCCAAAAGTTCCCAAAATGAACGACTAGAAGCTCCAAATCCTCTCACGAACTATTGCCTTCGTTTTGGGAAGAATCGAAAGGATAAAAAATTTATTGATAATACTTTAAAAAAATCAAAATCAAATCGATGTTGGTGCAAAGGTCGTCTATTGGGTCGCCAAAAGTTCCCAAAATGAACGATTAGAAGCTCCAAATCCTCTCACGAACTATTGCCTTCGTTTTGGGAAGAATCGAAAGGATAAAAAATTTATTGATCTTTCAATAAATCACAAAAGAGTGGTTTTTCTCACCTTAAAGGCCAAGATTTTTCTATTGGGGGTTTAGAATACCCCCCAAAACCCTTTCCCTCTCTTTTTTGGGGGAAAAAATTACATTTTTTACCCTCACGAAGGGTTTTTCCGCCCACCCGCAAACTGTCACGGGGCGGAGCCTAGGTGGGCGCCCAGACAAGCCTAGGCAGTGCCTTGACCTCCTTGGCGAGCGCCTAGAGACAAGGCGCTCAATGACCCTGCCCAGACTGCACTTAGGGGTTTTTAAATTTTTTTTCGCCTAGACTGTTGGGCAGCTGAATTTTCGAACATTGCCTCATTGTGTAAGATTCGAATTGTGTTCATTTTCTAGGCTTGTTGATAGGTATATATTTCCAACTTCTCTTTTCTCATTCTAATAAATGAGCTTCCTAGCCTCTTTAGTTGTTCTAATTTAATGGGACCATCAAGCGTTGCTTCATCTTATCACTCGAAATGTTATGTAGTCTTTTTGGATTATTTTTACAACACACTTGGATCCTACTTTCTCAAAGAGAAATCCGAAATATTCAAAATATTTTACAATTCAAAAGATGCTGAAAATCATTTTTGTAGACCAATATTTTTTTTCGAAGCGATAGAGGCACTGAATTCTCATCTCATGTTTAACGAAATTTATTTACAAATTAGTATCTACATATTCAACAACAAAATGAAGTAGTGAAACAAAAACAGTGCGATATCATTCTGGTTACCCTATCGTTGCTGTCCACTAGCGAGGGTGCCAAAATACTCATGGACTGAAGCTTTTCCTACAACTTTTGTAGCACCAACTGGCTGCCCAGAAATGTTTTGAATGGCCAAACTCCTTATAGTTTGTTTTATGGTAAGAGTGCAGCTTATAAAATTCTTCTATCTTTTGGATGTTATGCTCATGGTCATGTAGACAAGAGTCAAAAAAGAAGCTCTCTCCAAAGGTGGAAACGTGCATCTTTGTAGGGTCTGAATATTGCTATAAGAGCTACTTTGATTGTAGCCCCCAATTTAAGCCGCCCTTATTTCAGGACATGTTACTTTTGACGAAATGAGGATGTGTGATCCACCTAAGGCCATCTTATCTCAAGAAGAAGAAAACTCCTGCAAGGCTACAACTCATGGCACACAGAAGTCCATTATGGGAGATGGAGTTATCTTGTCTCAGCATGCTCCCAAAAATAAGCATCAACTTAGCAACACCGATGAGAATGAGCCTCATCACATTGTTCATGATTTTGAACACCTTTATGATGGTGGCACTCCATCTAATGAGCTTCCTAATGATGTATCCAAAGAGATGATCATATATCATAGACGAAGGTTCAATGAGCTGCCCAACATTGCAATCAAGGTGATTGTATAGTATGTATGAAAGCGCATTGAGCTACCCAACATTGCAACCAAGGTGCTTGCATATCATATACGAAATATGAAACATAATGATGAAAACTTGGCTAACAAGTAAAGCTGGAATATAAGGAGGTAAATATGGTTGTGAATCACGAGTACAACACAATGAACATGGAGAAGTTGCTGATTATTGAAGAGAGCGCAGCATATAAGGGCATTTGACTTCTATTCTAATTGATGGATAAGTTATGAAAATTCACTCATGATTATGAAGTATTTATTTGTGAAACTCAAACTAAAGGAGCTTACGAGTTATCGTGTGGCGAATACAACCCAAATTGTGTTAAAGCTATGGCCCAAAAAAGTAAATCCATATTCTTTATTAAGCTTGTCAATTGGGCGGGATCAAACCCGATGAGGGTCGGAGTCTATGTCCAGGTTTTGGACGTCGTCGGTCAGGTCTGGGTCTAGTAGCCTTGACATAACCCTTAGTTGTGGGAACCTTGGGGGCAAGGCCATGGTCCCACCTTAGGAACTTGATCCTATGGTTCCTCTAAGAGAACTTAGAGGGAGCTGGATTTAGAGAAATAGGGATCTCGCTCCCAATAAAGCAATGAGTTGATCCAATTGAGTGTGCCTTGGGGGACTTTGGACATGGCCAGCCCAAACTAAAGCAATGAGTTGATCAAATTAAGTGTGCCTTGGAAGACTTTGGACGGGAAATCACAATCCTGAATAAATTTACCATACATCAAGTGAGCATACTTGTATCAAATATCAATGTGCAAACTTTAAATTACAAAGATTCAAAAATTGTTTCTGTTTCTGTTTACTTTATTTGACTTGTATTAAATTATTTAATATGCAACTGAGTGCTGACATCTTTTGGGAGTGAGACACCTCGTTTACAATGTCTTGCCATTCAAGTATTGAACCTTAAAGTGTATAGGTCATCTAGTTATGAGCAGAACTGATTTTAGCTTGCTTTTTACTTGGTATACTGCAATAAGATCGTAGAAATCTACCAAAGCATGGTTAAGTAACCTTTCTACTCTTGCTTGTTACCTTTCTTTTTATACAACTCCCTAGTAAAAGATGGAATGTGCTTGAGGAAAAGGATTTAATTGATCTTAGCTTATTTTTGTACAACAAAGGTCTTAGAAGAGGTGCTAGAAGCACATGTAGTCATGGACATTGACCCCATTGTCTTGGATGAATATGATGGTACAAGTGAGTGGAAACTAGACCCATACTCCGAGCTCTTGTTTGAGGGTGGAGCCTTAACTTAGTTGGATATAACGAACATCAAGAGCTGATGAAGACCCTAAGCCTGACTAGAGTTGTCACATTCTCGTCAGTTCCAAAGATCGAGGAGGCAGTGGAGGAAGAAGTAGATGATGGGGTGGCAGTGGGGGCAGAATATCTGTGTGATGGGGGAAACAGTAGAGGAAGATGCATATGTGGATGATGGGGGCAATGATACAGTTGATGATGGCTTGGCTGCAGATCTGGGAGACATAAGAGATGCAATTGCATATGACTTGGAGTCTGATTTAATGTAAGTGCTTGGTTGTTATAATACATATTCCTCTGTGTTCAGTTGAATTTAATGGATGGATTGGATGATTGGATCATTTTATTATACATGTTAATTATATTAATTAATAGGGATAGAAACTATCGTCATTACTCTTTATCCGTTACTTAGACACGATATATATTAGGGACAAGTACTAAACGAAAATGCTCCTACTATCATATAACTCACATAGTAATCTTGATCTTCACAGTCTTATAACGTTTAACAAAATCTTTAAATACTTTTTGTTCATTGACTGCATAGGAAGTGATCCTTCTGCATCACGGCAACATTGATGCACATGGGACATCTAACCCTCCTAGAGCCTCAAGTTTGCATCCCACATTTGAGAACCTTAGTTGATGGTTTTTGTAGGTGTTATTGGTGCCTTAAAATTTAGATTACTACAACCCAAGATTTCTTGATGGTTGTACTTTTGTATTGACTAGTTCATTCTCTTGGTGAATGTAAGCAGTTTTAGATTACGAAATTTCCTATTTAGTTTGCTTTTTATCTCGTCAAGGAGGGTACTTTACAGAGTTTTAGAATATGCAAGTTCTTGATTGGATGTCTGTATTTGGTGCATTCTTATACCATATATTCATATTGCTTGCTATATGTGTAGAATACCTCCATGCTTAAAACTGTTCACGTGCATCTAACTTGTTCAAAGTTTCACAGATGGAAAACCTGGTGATGCTGCTACCTTTTCAAAGAAAGCATTGGAGTCCCTTGCATTTAAGAGGTACTTTGAGGCACTTGATTATCTTAATGAAGCTTTAGAGGCTGATCCGGCATTTTCTGAGGCTTACTTTCACCGTGCATCTTCCCTGCGTCAATTATGTAGGTACAAAGCTGACTTTTGCTACCTTTCCCCCAAGTACACCTTGGACTGAATGAGTTTAACAACTTTTTTTTGTGCCTGAACATGAGTTTTCACCTACATGATTTTCATGTTTTGATAAAATAATAACTGTGTTGATTCGTATATATTTGCTAATATTAAAAACCTCTCATAAAGGGAAAAATTTAGAGAAGGAACACATAAACTATATTGTCCAGCTAACGTGCTGAATAATTTTCTTTTCAATTATAAAACGCTTAAATAGCTACTAGGTGTAAGTGGCAAATTCGTTTTTCAAACAAATGCACAATGCCTGTATAAATTATCATTCTTGATGCAGGAAAATAAGGAAATGACGCAAAAAAACAGTACATTTACTATCAAAACATGCTAGATTTAAGTCGATCTGGCTTTCTTTGCACAAAAAAGCGACGTCAAAACCCTAGACAGGGCTTTCTTACACTGTTCATAATATGTTTTTACTATTCACATTCCAAAAGTGTTTGAAATCCAAACACCCCAGGTCCTTCTATTACATTATGATAAAAAAAGACCAAAACTATCCCCACTTAAAACATTATACAAACTCCCTATAAGTTCCTTCACTTAAATTAAATTTTGTAATGACACTTTTACCCCTAATAGAACAAGTAACTTCTTGAGTATTTTAACAACTAAAAATAAAAAAAATCCTAGAATTCCTTAAAAGAACTTAAAACCCCTAATAATAACCATAGAAAACTCCAATTGTACATCTTTAAAATTTAATAAGAAAAATTCAAAAATTCAATTATACATCTTTGCAAGGGTTGATATATCCATAAATGCTTTTGAGAATCTCTCGAGTAAAGGGTCGTTATATGTCGAAGGAATAACCTTGATATGTACACTCGGTTCGTTCACATTAACTAGGTGAAATGGCATCAATACAACCATTAAACCTAGCTGAAATTGCCTTGGTTCAGCCCTAGAACAAAGCAAGGGAGCATCTTCGAGATGATCATCTCCATCCCCTCGTTCACTAACCAAATCACCAACTTCCTCTTCTAAAACTTCTTTATCCAGTCATCCTCACCTTGACCATTGTCACCTTCCTTGTTTTCACCCGGTTCATGATAAAAAATTGGACTGCTACATTTTTCATCTATACATTGTTCAAAGACTGGTGGAGAGTCCCAATCAATGACTTGCTGATGTTGGTAGTAAATTAATAAGTAATTGTTTGGGTTTAACCATCTGCCTCTTCTGCTACTCTGGGTGGAATCATGTTGCACTGGATCACGAAAGCCTCCCTATGGTCACTAAAGGTCACTTCTGGCTCTTCTCCCTCAGGTTCTTCATCATAAATAGGATTCCAATCATAAGATAGCTTGCTGTCCTCCTCGAAAAACTCATCAGCAAGGGTAAAATTTTTTCTATTTTGGCATTGAGAAGAGTCATGACCAATCCCTGATCACTTAAAGCATTTTATGACACTACTGTTTGGGTGATTTGGGCGGCTAGAACTAGCCCCAACACATGTTGTTTCCTGCTTGTTTGATGTACCAGCAGGCTGTGACGATTGTCTAACCACTAAATTGAATCTTTTCCCTTAAATTCATTTCCACAGCCACATGAGCTACCCTGGCCTGTAGTCCACCTTGATCATCCTCAGTTGAGCTTCAACCTTAATTGTGACGTAAGCCTCATCTAAGTTCTGTTACGGCTGTAAAACCACATCTTGTTTCTGCCCGCCAACCTAGCGAGCTAGGGACAGTTTCTCTCTTTCCACGACTCATTTCGTGCCATCAACTGATGAAATTCATCGTTATACTCATCTACACTCTTTTCTTCATCTTATGATAATGGAGCTGCAAATAATTTTTAGGTACGTAACTTTCTTTTAATTTTGGTATAAGAAGGGTGAGGACCTTAAACTTTCCCGTAATCTGTCCCACACCCCGATAAAAGGGGTGGACTGTGTTAGGTTGGCAGGCAACGTAAAACTATCAAAACTTATCATGAATCTTGAACCTATATTATCTTCTTATGCTCGGGCATTCCCCCAAAGCAATGCATTGTACCTGAACTCAGGTATAGTGAGAACGGAGTAAGGGTTAGGAATGACAGACATGGATTCATGTTGCCGACCTCAATTAGTTGGGAAAAGGCTTTAATGATGATGAACTTTCTTTTAATTTGTTTTTCATGTTATTCCAAGTATTAATTTTGGGCTTTCTCATTCTCTCTCGCCTTCCTCTAAGCTGTTCCTTCTATATCGAAGCACCTTTCTTCAATTTAATGGCAATATTTACGCTTTTTATTTTCTGGCTCATCCTTGTAATCAAACACCCTCTCTATCGTGTTTAACCATTCTCTAAAGTCGTTGGGCTGCAGTTTGCATTTAAAATCAGGAATATCTGCTTTTAGATCCATGGATTTTGAGTGCCGTCTATACCTTAAATCATATTCCTCTTCACTTGGCTCATCTTGCGGAGCATCATTGTGGAAAGGGCTGCACTCAACATCATCTTGGACGGAAAAAGCTTCATCTTGCCCATGATTGATGCTTGCAAGCTGCAATGTAAGTTCTTGTACTTGTCGGCCCAGTTCTCTGAAATCATAAATCCTAGACAGAAAATAAACAAAATAACCGAGACCATCAAGTTCTAGGCTGATTTGGCACTTGGCTAAAATTCAACAAACCCTAGAGTTGGGTGCAGATTCCCAACTTTGTTGTTGAAGAAAAACTAGGCTCTGATACCAATTTGATGCTAGAAAATAGGGAAAAAAGCAGAAAACAATTCAATAACTATTAAAACTGGCCATATTTAAATGGATTTGGCTTTTATTGCTAGAAAAAGTGATCCCAAAACCACCCTAGACAGGGTTCGCTAATACTATTCATAGTATGTTTATACTGTTCACTCCCCAAAAGTGTTTAAAACCCTAACACCCCAGGTCCTTTTATTATATTATGACAAAAAAAAGACCAAAACTACCCCCACTTAAGTTAAAACATTATAAAAATATCCTGTAAGTTCGTTTACTTAAAATAAAATTCATAATGATACTATTATCCTTAATAGAACAAGTAACTCCATAAGTATTCTAACCACTTTCCTAAACATCTCCTAAAATCCTGAAAAATATAAAAAATCCTAGAAGCCCTAAAAGAACTTAAAACCCCTTAAAAAAAGCGCCCTAGAAAATTCAAAAAGTACATCCTTAAAATTTAATAAGAAAAATAAAAAACAAGAGGCATCTTGTCTTGCATCAATTCTTGACTTCAATGCACATAATGACATTTTCTATCAATTCTTGACTTCAATGCACATAATGACATTTTTTAAGCGATCTCTCTATCTCTTTTGCTTTTTTCGAAGTTAATTGAATGCGACTTAGACATTTTCTAAAATGCCTTCATTTTTCCAAGCTATGGAAAAGATCCTACCCCTTGATATAATGACATAGCAATTTTCATGTTTGATTCTATCTGGCGTTAACCCAAACTCAAAGAAGGAAAAGCGAGCGCTGCCTCTGCATTCCATTTGATGCTTTAGGTATGGTCACCGACTCATGCAATTTGGGGTTTGGAGGGCCTTAGGTGATGAGTTGGTTTCGGGCTAGTACTTGAGTATAGCAAGTAGGCCTTAATTTTGATGACATTTTCAAAATGAGAAAAATGTATAAACAGCATGTCATATATATGGTCCATGTCCAAGGTACAGGAAACGGTAGTTTGGCCCTTTTTAGTCACTGTTGCCAATTGTGTTAGAGTCCTTGAGTGTTTGTTGTGTCATAATATAGGCTCTTGCCCTACCTAACACCATACATTGCTGAAAAGCAGTTTACAATATCTGCCGTGGATATCACTCAAGTAATTGGTGATTAATCTTTTCTGACCTTAGGATTTGTCCATCCCATTTTCTGGTTTTGTAATATGGTAATGTTACAGGGTGTATGTGTCTGGTAATCCATTCATTGATGCTCAAGTGATTCGTGATATTATTCATGAAAAATGTGATTGGCTGAGAAACTTGTACCTACATTATCATGACTATCAAAAAGAAGCACTTTATTTGTCATTGCAGTATTTTCTTTCCTCTCAGGTTATGTGGGCCAGTGGTGCCTTGTAGCTCATGGGAAGGCACTGTGATTTACTTTAATTTTTTTATTATTTTCCTCTGGATTATTAGCAGGATTGATTGAAGTAAATCCGAGAAACAATGAAAAAAGAGAAGACAATTATGTAAGCAGTACTTAAACAGTTATGATGTTCATTCTTGTGATGTTCATTCTTGTGATGTCCTCTTTGGTTTATGACTTATACATGACAAATGTAGTCCTCTTAGTATGTGGATTTTACTCATGTGCATTATATAGTTACGTAATACTGATGTGCGAATCATACTGAGCCGTGCTCCATATTTTGTTGCAAAATATCTTTTTTGCGCTCATGGATAGGTAATACAACTGATTGAACTGTGCAATCTAAGGCACTTTCGAAATTTGAACTTGGAAGTATATCTCAAAGTCAGAGTCTGAGATTCTCCTGCAATATAAGTCTTCTTTTAAAGTCCATCTTTCGTCTCGTGTTTTACATGTATTCATATATGATTCTTTTCTTGCATTCGCCTTCCAGTTTTATATTATCCTTTTGAAGACATCTATGGATTGGATGATCTAATTTTAATTTAGTCCTTTTTGTATTCAGTTCTTTTACCTACACTTGCTGGTAAGCATTTACGTTTCCACTAATTATTTGGAATGCTCGATCTTCTTTATTTTATTTCTGATTTGGAAATGATATGATTCAGGCAATTTTTGGCTGATGTAGATATGAGGAGTCCGAGAGAGACTACAAAAAATTTTTGGAGTTAAAACCTAGTACTTCTGCTGCAGAAAAAGAACTTTCCCAGATGTTCCAGGCAAAAAGTTCTCTTGAAGTTGCCATAGATCTTTTTAATTCCAAAAATGTTATCAAGGCAATGGACCACCTCGACAAAGTTGTCCTTGTTTTTTCACCGGAGTGCTCCAAGGTCTCTGGGTTTGTTGCTTTTAATTTGTTGCAGCTGATGATTTGGTATATCTATGCAAATGAGATGGTGTTTAACACTGATAATATTTCTTGTTTCAGGCAAAACTTTTAAAAATTAAGATCTTGATAGCGGAAAAAGACTATTCAGGTGCCATTGCTGAAACTGGTTATATACTCAAATCTGATGAGAGTAATCTGGAGGCTTTACTTCTGCGTGGACAAGCCTATTATTACCTGGTTGATCATGATGTTGCTTTGAGGTATGTTTAGCTGAACTTGTAGGCAGTGCCATAATGGACTGAATTGTTTTGTGTGTATTACTTTCAAGGTTCATGGACAGTCTAAAGATCAAACATCTTGCCCCCAATTGATTTTGAAGCTGTAATGACTCTTATCTGCAGTGTGAAAGAACAGTTTAAAAATGGGTTTGTGGTTTTTGCTTTGTCCAGATATTTTCCGTTTTTGATGAATGCTAATGAATATTTACGGAAGAAACTAAACCTTTTTTAGTTTTTTTAAATTTCATTTTTGGGTTGTGTCAACAAACCGTGTTTGAGCATATCTGTTCCCATCTGTTTGGTCAAATGGAAGTATAGATTATATATGTTGTACTGTCACATTGCCCTGGTATTCGCCAACACACAACAAGAAAATTCTCATCATTATTTTTCTGCACGGAAATATTAAATAGAGGAAACCCGCAACATCCTCTTTTGGGAAATCTTTTGTGGTTGTTTTTCAAGAATATCAGATCTTGAGTTTGCTCACCTCAGTTCATACAGATGGGAATGGATTGTTTAGTTTTTCTGCTGAAGGTATCTGTTTTCACTTTTGTCTCTTCATAGTCCAAATTAGCCACCTCAAATTATCTTAGTATGAAATCCGTCTCCAGCTTTAGGGTCCGTGATTTTTCCAACTTGATTTACTCTAGTATGCATGCATTTCTGCAATTGCCCTAAGGGCCTTGCTTGTTCTTAAGGTTAGCCTTTTGTGGGCTGCCATTTGGGAACATGTCCACAAAATTTAATAGACTGGGGCCATCTTTAGATCTTGGTACTGCTTCTGCAATTTTCCTCTTGATCAGTTCTTTGTCCTGTGAGGTCAATTCTTTTGGATCACTAAGGCTACAATGGGAAGCATGATTGTACTACATGCTGCTTTGATGTTTAAATTTTTCATTTCTTGATTTAAATGACCATCAACAAATTTCTTATGCTTTGAAAAAGTAAATGGAAAAGACTCTGATTTATGTTAGTGAAGTTGTTTATGTGACAGCTAGTTGACTCTTTCAAATATTGTGGGTAGAAAGGAGGATATGCTGCATTAGTACTGATGCCTGCTGTTCATGTTTTTTTGTTATCATCTGCAACATTCTAGTGGTTTCTGGGAAGTGATATAGCCTCGACAATGTCTTTCTTGGACATTTACATAAGTATTTCTTTGTGAAGGCACTACCAAAAGGGGCTTCGTCTTGACCCGGAACACAGTGGACTGAAGAAAGCATATTTTGGATTGAAAAATCTTATAAAGAAGACTAAAAGTGTAAGGTTCAGAATTATTTTTCAAGATGCATTCTAAGAGATGGTCGCAGAGTTTAAGTCTGCCAAACATGTTCTGGAATTAACAGTGTGGTTCATTTGTTTTCCTCAGGCTGAAGAGAATCTAGCTAAGGGTAAGTTGCGATTAGCAGTAGAGGACTTTAAAGGAGCACTTGCGCTGGACCCGAATCATACTGCATACAATGTCCATCTTTATCTTGAGTTGTGCAAGGTATTGATCAAGCTTGGCCGGGGAAAAGATGCTTTGGACAGTTGCACTGCAGCGCTTGACATTGATGGGGAGCTTATAGATGCTTTAGTTCAGGTCTGCTCATATTATATTTAAAGTGCTTTTCTGGCTTATTTCTTAATGTCTTACTTCAAGACATTATCAGGTTTTTGACAGACATGGCAGTGCTTATTCCGATGGAAAAGTTACATAATTTTATTATTTGATTGTCCAACTATAGTTATATCCTCTTTTTCTTTAAGTGTTTTCTCTGATCTTAATAAATTTCATATACTTTCATTGTTATTCGTTTCTCTTTCGCTCTCTCGATAAAAAGAATTGAGTGTTACATGTGTCTCTTTCCTTAATTAAGATATCGCTGAGCCAAATTTGGGGCATCAATACCTGGTGTAAAAAAAAACAAGTTTGCAACATCAATTGTTTGGACTGAACTAGGACTTTGTAACGAGCTGGCTATTCGGAATCGGCTAGGTGTCCTCTCTTTCCATCCCCTCCCTCTGATGGTAAAACTGTGATTAGCCAGCCATGGACTGCTTCCTGCTCAGTCATTGGGCAATCAAACATGGTATCGCTTGTTTTCTCACTCCCTCAGCCAACACAGCAGCCTCCTCGTTTGTTTCGTCCAAGTGCGAAAGGGCACACCGGGCCTGCTGATGCTGTCAAAATTTCCTCATAAAACACTTGAAAGTTGTCATGGACCCTCTGCTTGCCCTGTTCCTCCACAATGACATTGTTGGAGTCGCTTTTAATTTTGACTTTCTGCCAATTATCATCTGAACATTGCTGTCCAGTTAGCAGTGCTCATCTCTGCTTATTTTGAGTGTTTATTAGCTAATGGACCAGAGAATGTCAATAGCATGTGATCTTTTTTATGCTCCCCCCCCCCCCCCCTGCCCCCTGGATTACCACATGAGACAACATCAAAGTTTAACTTTACACATTCCTTACTTTGACGACCCAAATTTGCTTGTCTCGTCATCTGAGGGCATTTTGCCAACTTGTATCCTTATATTCTTTATCAGTTTTTCTCTTAATTGATTCCTTTCTAGTTGCCTTAAAATTGAGAGTTATTCTGGGCATCATTTTCAAAGAAACTATTGTCATGGATCCCCATATCTATCTGTCAACACATTTTCCACAATTGCTTATTTGATCTCCCATTCTTCACTACAATTGACCAAGCAAAGCTTATCTAGTCTAAATCCTTGTGTCCCCAATCCATATAGGTTTTTTTGTTTATGAACATGGTTCCAATTCACCAGGTGTATCCTTTGCTCATCTTCTGATCTATTAATATATGCACAAATAGATGTGTGGAAAGATCGAGTCAATTTGATAATATTATCTAGGTGATTGATGATGGAGATAGGGATCATAATCATAAATAACAGATGCACAAATAGATTTGTGGAAAGTTGGAGTTAATTTGATAATAGTCATCTGCCTAAGTAACTAGCTTTCCATGCATCCAGCTTCTGCCAAATCTTTCAACAACCTCATCCCTTAACTGGCTTTTTTTTTTCATGGGCACATAGGCTGACCAAGGTATTTACTTAGCAGTCTATCAATGCTACATCCTAGCATTTTGCTTCATAAGGCTCACGATCTGGCATACAGATTCAAATTTATTTTATGGATGTTAATCTTAAAGTCTGAAACCACCTCAAGACATCTAATGCACAACCATATGTTCCGCAGTTCTTTGTGGGCCTTGCAAAAGATTAGCATATCATCTGTATTCTGAAAATGGGATACATGTAGCATCCCTTTTGAAACATTGAAGCCATTCAATAGCATAATGGACTCCCTTAGGTGTCCTATGGAAGGCATCTGTCATTCTATGGATAAGAAATAGGGGTAGACGGTCACCTTGTCTAGACCTCCTCAAACTCGAGAAGAATCCTAAGCAGATCCATTGATCGAAACAGAGAACTGAGTAGATGGTAAAAATCCTTGAATCCTATTTCTCCACCTCATTCTGAAGCCAACACGTTGCTGTACTTGCTCCAGAAATTCCCGAACAACGTGGTCGTAAGCTTTTTCTATGTTGAAAATTTCACCCCTGATTTCTTGCTTGCCTTGAATGGATTCACAAATGTGCATTAAGGTCATGGTCCAGAATTTGCCTATTCTTTGACAAAGTCAGCTTGTGGTAGTGAATTGATTTAGTTGAGAACTGCTGGTAGTCTCTATGCCAGGACTTTAGCCGTTGACTTGTGTAAACTGCCTATGGGTCTAATTGGTCTTGGATCCCTTATTTCTTATGTGAAAGGTTTTACCCATGTGATATGGTAAAATTTCCCTAAAAAAAAAAGTAGAGCACCTGACCTTTGTGATATAGGTAAAATTTTCCACCAAAAAAATCAGCATAGCTTCTTTAATTAATGCCCCTGTATCTTCTTGGTCTTACAAATGCCTACTTTGAAATTTTAATACAAGTAAGACTCGAAAAACCAAAAAGAAGAAAAGCATATCTTGCACAAGGAAAACTTGCAGCAACAACCCTAAGTAGGTGCTCCAAAAACAACCAAATTTGTAGTAAAATATGCAAACGAGCATTTGCCTAGGGTTAGGGGTAGCAATGGGTCGGTTCCGGGTTTGGATCCCAGACCAAAGCAATCCAGACCCTGATCCAACCCTACTCAACTTGACCCGTAGGTCCACATTCTAAATTGGATCTGAACCCAAACTGGATGTCTGAGGGTCGTGTTTGGGTCCGGGCCTAGAAATTAAAAAATGAAAAATAAATTATTTTATATAATTATAATATATACTTAATATTGTTTGACTTACAATAGTTATATATTTGTATTTGTACTTACATATGATGGGTTGGGTTGGATCGGGTTGGCCCACCTGATAAGGTCCAAGCCGGACCTAGACCGGGACAGATCCAAGTCATTTGGACCCAGACCTAACTCACAGGGTCTAACACTTGGACCTGGATCTGGACCCAGTTCGGGTGGGTTGACCTGACCTTATTTCCATTCCTACCAATCCCCCTGGGACTGTGTACACCCCATCTCAGCTCCTAGGATCGTCAACAACTCGTAAGATATTTCGCCTTTTTTCATTCTGTTTTGGGTGAGTTATAGAGAGACAATGAGTTACTGGCTGCATTTTTTTTTGAGTAATACAAGTTGTAGGGTTTTACCTTCTCTTCTTATACCTCTTAAACAAGGAGATGGAATCGCACAAAATCCTAACATGTGTCTCTGTCAAAAACTCAAAAACCTAAAAGCCATTAGAAAGAGGTCATACCTTGCTGTTTTGGCTTGGAGTTGCTGGATATAAGCTTCTTCTTTGCTCTATTTGAATCTTCTGCAATCAAGGAGACTAAGAAGACAATAATCTAGGATTTCCGCCATGCACCTCTCTTTTCTCTCTTGGTTTCTTCTCAACTGGAATCCATATTTTTAAAACACGCACCTCTCTCCTTTTTTACCCTGAAATCCTTCATGTGGCTGACCCTAGGTCTCGCCATGTGATCTCATTTTTTCATAGAGCCTCTTTCAAAATTACAACTAAAATAGTTTCGGGATCCCTGTACAAGAGCTCTAAAGGGGTAGAGGGGGAAAATGTGAACTAACTTTTCGAGTTTGATGGAGTGAGAGGGCTGATTTTAGCCGTCCGTCCTTGGCCAGTAATCTTGCATCAATATTTGGATTTTACACTATTATCCTTTGGAGAATCGTATTACCAATATTCTTCCAATCTTATGTTGAGTAGAATAGAACCTTCTAGGAACTTCCTGATCCTATTAGATTCTACCGAACCACCTAAAGATATTCCATCCATTTGTTTATTTGAAAATTGTTTTAAACCTCAACAAACTTCATCTTCCAGAAATCTTATTCACACTAGGAACCTTAGGGAATTGCATGCCTCCGAAACTCCGATGGGGCCTTGACATCACCCTCATTGTTTTGGGTCCCCATGGCTAGCGGGGCCAACATGGGTTAAAGGCGAAAACGTGTGGCCTATCTGGAGACAATGTGGCTCCCATGCAACTCCTCCATAATTTCCTAATAGCGTCCATAGGAAGAAATGAATTGATTTTAAGAAGCCCCTGCCTTAAAAAGGTAGTTTATTCCATAAATGTCCTTTACTAGACACCAAAATTTGTTCAGAATATTTAGGTGATAAAATAGATAATAATAACATATTTTCTTTCTTCAAAAGCCTTTGGAAAAACCACCACAAAATAACTGGAAGAATATACTTGCACTAAACATTCTTCTACTTGGTATGCTACAACTACTCTTGGCTGCATCTAAACATTGTTCAAGAATGCTGATCTGGTCACCTAGGCAGCCGGGATGCCAACTGTAAACCTAGGCTGCCCAAACATAAATTAAGAGAGTTTAAGCCCCCTAGGGTGTTCATAGGGGCTTGGATTGGATCTTGAAACCTCCCATATATATATATATATATATATATATATATATATATATACACACACAATAATAAATAGACTATAGTAACATATATAATAATATATAAGTCGTACGAGGATATAGTACGTAACCGAACCAACTAGTAGTACGAAGACGTACTATGTGTGTGTGTGTGTGTGTCTGTATATATATATATATATATATATATATATATATGTATGTATAAATAAGTGTATAAATGTATAAACGTATATGTGTGTGTGTGTAGGAGTAACTTTTATACGCCCAAGGCTGCTGCAATAGTATTCCACCCAACAACCCAGATTGCCTATCTGATGATCACAATTCTATTTTGTATTTGAATTTTAATTTTTTTCGACAGATCCAAATAATTTGAAATTTTGAGCTTCCATTATTCTCATAAAGGCACACCTACAAAAAAGATTTTAGGAATAATTGGCAAAGAGTAATTGACCAAAATACTCTTGAAATTTTCAGGGGTGTTTTTAGTTAATTTATTATTTCTATTTTTTTTAAAATGTTTTTTGCTAGGGCACCTAGTTTTCAATGGTTGGCGATCCAAATTGCAAGTGAGTTTTGGATTTGTAGAAAAAAAAAAATACTCAAAGACAAAATACAATTGTGGCCATTCGATCAACCTAGATTTAATACAGGACT